TTATTATTTATTTTATTTGAAATACTTTATGAAATGTTAATTATTATTATTTTAATTTCTTCATCTTTTTTTTTAAGATTTGATCTTTATTATTTTGATTATTATTTATTTTATTTGAGATAATTTATGAAATTATTTTTTTTAATTTTATTATTATTCAAATTTTTAATTTGTAAAATTTGTTCCTTATTATTTTAATAAACTTGAGAAAAATAAAACATTAATAAATTATTTTTCAGTTTATTTTTCATAATATAACTAAATACTGGAAAGTATTTTCAGGTTATTTTCCATAACACTACCAAACATTGGAAAATAATTTTCTTTTTAAAAATTTATTTTTTAAAAAATTCATTTTTTTAAATTTTACTTTTCGAAAAAAACAATTTTTCTATAAACAAATGGAGGATAGGTTTCCTTTCAATTTTTTGTTCGTCTGGCTATCCTTTTAACTTGTCTAGTCAGTTAAGTATTAATTCTAACATGATTTAGTTTAAAAGGTAGGTAGGGGAAGGGTACAACCTAAAGGTCATTTGTATATCAAGAACCAAAATCGGTTTTAAACAATGTTAATAATTAATTTATTTTTTGACTTAGCTTTTTTTCTCCATTATAAATTTAACAATTATTTTCAGGATAAGCCGTTATCATAAGCACAGACAGTTTGAGAATAATGATACGATGTCTGCGTACTATGTAAGAATGCGAAACATGTTTGTGAAATAATTTGTGTTTGATGTTTTAATTCATAAACTTATTTCATAATATTAAAAAAAAATAAAAAAGGTAGAAGAGATCCATGAACACGAAGGATGACACGTGTCCTTCCTATAATTATTGAGTAGCAGACAGGATAAGTATCGACAGAAAAAGAGTACTGTACTGGCAGATAAGATGCCCTGGCATTATACTTCAAAAATAATATTAGGAGTGGCAGATAAAGTGCATTGATATTATCCTTTAGGAGGTAGTTTTTGTCAAAAAAAAAAAAATATTATTTTTTTATTGTAGTGAATATTTTTTTTATTATGTTTAGTTAATGTTTTATATTTATTAAATTTGTAATAAGGATTTTATTAAGATATTATTATATATTATAAATTTATTTATGATATTAATAGTTGAGTTAAAAAAATTGAATTTATATTTGAAATCTAAAAAGAAAATTTAATTATATACACTCATCGATCAGTAACATTTATACTTAAAAAAAAAAAACATAATAGAAAGATTAGAAACCATCCTCAAATTAACAATTATTGTCACTACAAAACAGTGTAGCCATCAATCTTTTATGCAACTCTATGATCTCCTCCCACTTCTCTATGATCAAGGATCTATCAATATTTGTATATGATTCAATTCAAGTGAAGAGAAATAATTCATTAAAATCAATATTATAGTTAATTAAAACTCAAATCAATATGGTTAATTAAGATATTAATATATATTATGAATGTATTTACCATATTAAATGTTGTGAAGAACTAATCAAAATCAACATGGTTAAGTAAAACTCAAATCAATTCTATATGGTCAATTTTGTTAAAAATTATTGTTATTATAATTTATTGAACTCATCAAAAAAACGTGTTTGGCACCAATAATAATTATTGTTATTATTTCTCAATTTTGCAGATGCTTATCTTGTATATATACTAGTTTATGATATTCATGGATTTATAGTGATTTATATTTTAAATTAGTATTTGCTTTGGCTTTTTGCTCTTTTAATAACTTGTTGTTCATACCACGTGGTTTTTATGATAAATGATAAACATGAATATTTAAAGAAAACAAAAAATAAAATAAAAAACATAATTTTTTTACTATAGCCTATAGCCTACGAGGGAATGCATTTTGGCCTTATACATTTTATTTTTATTCTTTGAATTTTGATATAAGTCCATTACAATAGAATAGCTAACAATTTATTTGAGATTTTTTTTATTGAATATAATTTTAATTTTAATTTTTTAACTTGATCATAGCTTTTTTATTATATTCACATGTGCTCTTTTGTAAAACTATTTGTAATGTTTTTTTCTTTTAAAAAAAATTATATGATTGCTTTTTTACATATGCCTATTTTTATTAACATGTAGTTAAATATGATGGCTTTTTTACATATGCTTATTTTTATCTAACTACAAAATGAAAAGATAATTTCAAAAAAATAAAGTTATTAAACCTAACCATGTCATGTATTTAATAGGTTGTATGAGTTAATTTAAGATATTATCATTTTAATACTTTTTTAAAAAAACTATCTTCTTAATACTTTTTAAATCAAATTAGGTTTTTATTAAATAGAATGGACAATTCCTTAACTTGTTTTGTTGTTTTGTCAACCAAGTCATATAAATATAACTTTAACCTGATGTAGTTTAAAACTAGGATAGAAAATGGCGGCCATTTGTATGTTGCAAATACCAAGGAACCAAAATCGGTATTAAACCTGAATGCAAGCTTCTTCTTTTTTACTTACCTTTTTTTTTTTAATGCTACTTAATTTATTTTTAGGCTTAGATTTTTTATCCCATTATAAATTTGACAATTATTTACAGGATAAGTCGTTATCATGAGCACGTATAGTGTGGCCGTATATATGTGAATAATGATAAGAAGTCTAAGTACTGTGTAAGAATGCGAAACATGTTTGCGAAATAATTTGCGGTTGATGTTTAAATCCATAAAATTATTTCATAATGTAAAAA